GCAAGTAGAACAGAGACGAAGGGCAGAGAGATCGGGCCCCAGCAAGAAGGCTGCTGAGGGAGGGTGGAAGGCCAGTCGAATCAGCCCTCGAAGCGCCGGGCTGCCCTCCCTGCTGCCCTCCATCACAGCGCCGTCACAGCGAGCTGGTCTGTAGCGTCGGCGCTTGTCGCTGCCAGGGCGGTAAATAAGGGCATCCGCCTGCGCTCTTCATGAGACAGAAGCCGTCGCAGTCGCTGCCTGTCTGTCCGTCGAGTAGTCGATGCTGTCTGCCGCAGAACTGGCGGCTTGGGGCGCGTTGCTTGGTTGACCCGTCGCCCTGCTTTTCCCATCTGCTGCTGCATATCTAGCCAGAGCGTATATATTTAGACTGCTTGGACTGCTCGGACTGCTTCTGCTGCTGCTTCTGCTGCTCTCCACACCGCTGCTTTTCGCTCTGGTCCACTGGTCGGGCCTGCATCGCCGCCGTCTGAAGCCCCGAGAGGAGTCGCTGCTGTTTCATCCGCATCCGCATCAGCATCAACTTCTGCCATCACGGCCATCAACTAGTATACTTACTACTTACTTGCGACTTACTGCTCTACCACGCCCACTGTCGCTGCCGTCACCGAGACAGACAGCCAGGATCCTCGAGGAAAAGCAAAGAAACAGGGACGGAGCCAGGGCCTGTGGCTCACCCATCCACCCCCCCTAGGTTGCTGCTGTGTTGGCCACCCGCCTTAGCCTTACATAAAGATACTCAGCGGCCCCGAAGGCTCGCCCTGGCTGCTGCTGCGACGGCGTGGCGCTGCGCTGATATTATTCTTCTTATTACTTATTCTTACTTATCATTATTCTCGCTGCTGCTGGCGGTGCCTTGGTTAAGTTACTAATAAGGCCGTTGTCTCCTCCGTCGCTCGCTCTCGCATCTTCTCGCTCTGCGGACATAACACGCTGCAGACCAGCAAGTCAGCGTCACCTCCCAGTGCCACAGCATCCCCGGCTGTCGAGGTGGCAAGCATCCGGAGTTTTTCATCGTCGTCGTCGTCGTCGTCGTCGTCGTCGTCGCCGTCCTTCGTCTTCATCAGCGGTGGCTTTGGCTGCTGCTATCTCCGTTTCCCTGTCGCTCCCTCGTCCGCACCGCACAACCGAACCCGGCCTCGACACTCCTTTTATACCTCCAGGACGGGCATCCATCATTCCCCCGATAGATGACACGCCTGCCATTCACTGCTGTCCGCCCTCGCCCGTCGTGTGTATCTCGCTCGCTCGCTGCTGGCATCGTTCCGTCTCAGGCACGCACGCACTTAGGCGGTGGACGGCCATAGAGTTATACTTCCCGTCCCGACGACCCTCAAACCAGACTTCTGGGAGACAACATCCAAACACCCAACACAACCCATAACACAGCAACCCAAGATGATCGATCTGCCTGCTAATGACCCATACGAAGTCCTTGGGATACCATCGACTGCTCAGACTGCCCAGATCCGGACGGCGTACAAGAAGCTCGCCCTCAAGTTCCATCCGGACAAGATCCAGGATGAGGCCCTCCGCGAAAAGGGCACCGCCGAGTTCCAGAAGATACAGGAGGCCTACGAGCTCATATCCGATGAGAACAAGCGTGCGAAGTATGACCAGGCGAAACGGGCTGCCGCCGCTGCCAGGGAGAGAATGGCGGCGGCTAGAGGTCCGCCCGGATCGACAAAGTCAAGAGAGAACTGCGTCTTTGAAGACATCACGCCCAGAGGATACTCGACATCATCAAAATACGAATCACCAAAATATGAATCACGACCGCCGCCGCCGCCGCCCCCTCCTACCTCTTCAAAGTCTCGTCGAGCTCCTCGAGACCCCTCTCCAGTCTCAGTAGACCGGAATCCCAGGCCGTCTCGCTACTCAGATGACGACTCTCCTTACGAAGAATACCGCTCAAGCTCGAGAAAACACTCTGGGTACGACAGAAGACATCACCATTCTAGAACCAGAGACAGAGACCCCTACGAGAGAAAGACCAGCGGTAGCAGTAGTAGCAAAGAGTACGCCAGACGTGAAGCCGCTCGATACGCAAAGGAGAGGGCCAAGGAGGCTCGCGAGTCGACTAGAAGCAGCCGGGCCAGCAACGCCAAATACCGTGACAAGGAGCGTCGTCGAGATACGTCGGAAAAGCACAGCCGAACGGCCTACGCTGCCACTGTCGAAGACTATACAGATGAGTCCTCCTCCGAGTCTGGATCTGAGTCCGAGTACAGCGAACATGAGTACACTCGTCCATTCAGAGAACACGTACGGCCAACTGAGAAAGCTAGATACCACAGTGCAAGCTACCCGTCGAGCTGGGAAAGCCCCAAGATGGCTGCCGACATCGAGGGCGCTTGCGAATACATGAGATCAAAAGCTGGAATGCAAAAGGCCGCAGAAGGCAAGCCAAATGTCGTATACGTCACTCCGCTGGGATCCCGCCGAGAAAAGGACACTGCTCGTCGCTCCTCTGCCAGACCTCGCATGCCAGAGCGGGAACGAGAACGAGAACGTGAACGTGAACGGGACAGAGAACGAGAGCGGGAGAGAGATCGGGATAGAGAACGAGAAAGAGAGCGGGAAAGAGAACGCGACAGAGATAGAGATCATGTCTTCGACGCCCCTCCTCGCTTCCACACCTCATACAGCATCCCAACCCGCGGCTCACACTCAAAGTCTTCCTCCACATCCTCTCGCGCACCTCCCCCCCTCCGTCGAGCTGGTACAGTGCCAGCTGCCTTTGATACCAGCCACGTTGAACCAATTGTTCCCAGATCAGTCAAGAAGAAAGGCACTCTCTTCGACTCCGGCTACAGCAGTCCAGCCAGTAGCCCTCCCATTGTCCCCTCTGGCGATTTCGTTCGCCCCAACACCCGCCAGCCCAAGATCATCACGCCAACAACCGGCGGCAGCGGCAGCACTAGCAGTAGTAGCTCCAGCCACCGCCGCACCCAAAGCACGTCTCCCTTACATCGAGACCCTGTCACAATCCAACCAACTTCTGCGCCTCCCAGATCAAGTCGGTCCTCCGACATGTTCCAAGAACTGAAACCAAGCTACTACCATGTCTTTCCCGGCCAGGTGAGATACTCACCGCGCATTGGGACAGAAGACATTTCCTTTGGCGGGCCTCCAAAGAAACCAGCCTTCTTCAGGAAAGCCTCTGCCGTCTCCTGATCATCAGCTCAAACAGCCTATATTCATACATATTTGTTAATATTTCTTGCGTTACTTTATTTTCCCCCACTCTGGAGTTTCACGGTTCTCTGCTTCCCGGTGTCTTGTTGCCTGCAGCTTGCTTGTTCGACATGACCCCTTTCTTTCTTGCCAACATATACGTGCCCCCTCCCTGTTGCTGGAGACAACAACAGACAATAGGCTACGACTAACATTCAAATATGCCATGTCATGTCTTCTCCCGAAGTCATAACATTCTACCCCATACACAATATTTTAACTAACCCATACCCTTCATGACCTTATGTACTTTTTTTTTTTTTTTATTATTTTTTCTTATTTATTTTTACTGCAATCTGCTTCTGTTTTACTTGCCCCTATCTTTCTTCCCTCCCCTCATGATTTTATATACGAATTTATTTTCCACCTCCCCATATACTATACATATACCGTACACTACCATTTTTGTGCTTATTTATTCTCCGTTTTGTCTCGTTTGGGTTCCAGGAATTCATCACATCATCATTTATCATGTTCATCGGATATGAACGGTCGGTGCGGAGGGGGCGAATATCTATGTCTCTTGCTGTGTTATTTATTTAGTATTATCAAGGGGAGCTCATACTGGAATGGAACGGAGGGATGCAATAAAGCTCATATCATATAATAATCTTGTTCCAGTGCTTTAGCATCAAGAATTTGTTCAAGTGTCTCTGCCAGCGTCTTTACAATGCCTGGCCGTCCCAGCTCTTCCAAGCTGAACAGGTGCGAGATGCATTGAGTGCCTGGATTCTCGGCGGTTAAGGTACACGCTATCCTGCGGGCAAAAGGAGTCGTTAATAGCAACCGACATACATTAACAGACTGACGACTAAATAATAAATAGTAATGTTCAATATCTTTCCTCGACGATTTCCTTGAGCTTTCCACTCTTTTCATGATATATCAATTCGCCAATATTGACCCACTCCAGGCGCAATGGAGCAATAGCTCCCCCTTCCTGGTCTCTCTTCCATTTTGGTGACGCTTCCCCAAGGGCTTTATCAATATTGTCACGAAGTTGATCGGCATTTTCTGGCTTTGTGATTGCAAGTCGAAAAGCCAGCACATACAGAGAATTCTCGCGGCGAACAATGCATTGAAACCGCCCCGTGACGCTCTCCTTGATTTCCCTTGCAACGGTCGTTTTCATCAATGGCAGATCAAGAAATGTTGTTGCGATTTTAACAGCGATAGAGGCTCTTCCACGGTGCTTCGGCGTCTGAGCATCGTAGTCAACCCACTCCGCGACATCCCCAACAGGATAGCGGATGATTGGCTGAAGACGTCTGATTAGTTGCGTGACAACCACATTGCCCCGAACCCCGGCCTCCTTGATAGCAGTTCCATCGTCTGCCAGGATTTCAAGAATGACTGCGGGATACCCAACCTTGTATACTGGGTGTATAGCATCCTCTTCAGCCGACGGTGAGCAAACGAGGACCCCAAGCTGGCCCGCATCAACGCTTGCATATGATGGTGCACACGCTATATCCTCAAAGAGGGTTTCGCCGGTAAAGCTGCCGAATATTTTCCAAGACCAAGCCCCTTCCAGCGAGGTAATCTGTCAGGCGTGTCAGAGTGAACAGGGGCCCAACTATAACCGTTGCTTGGAACCGTTGAATCTCTGCTACCATGAATTCGTGTGGCTGGGCACCCGTGATTGGCAGGTGAACGATAGGAATCGGTGTTTCCTCCAGCGTAGCAATCGCGTTCCAATATCCACCATACATGCCACCGAATGTCATAAGATTTGCAATTCTGTCCCCGGGCAAGAGGCGGGCGCTATGAACCCAGGAACTGCCTAATACCCTTGCCGTCGCTCGGAGTTCCTGTCGAGTCATATAGGTTGTTTTTGGCTCATTTGTCGAACCACCGCTTCTCAGGGGAACTCCACCGACAAAGGGCCCTGTCAAGACACTCCTGTGCGCAGCTCCAGTACTTTTCAGTGTCGGCCACTGGGTGTTGTTCAATATCGGGAGTAGCTTCTGGGAGATGCAGGTAAAGTGAGCGATAATAGGGCGAGAATTGGCGAGCAAATTAGACGATTTACTTTGTTGCTGGGGCATTGAAGCTCATCTTGGGCAACTAGTTATTCTTATAACTAATAGCACAAAAGCCCGCGAGTTTGTCAGAATACAACGTTCGAAACCAGGACCAAAAACTGCAGAGCCAGGTAGATATTATTATTATTATTATTATTATTATTATTATTATTTTTATTTTTTTTTTTTTT